CAAGGCTCTCTACTGGCCTCAGGGCTGGGGCTGCTGTTGTGAATGACTCTAGCCAGGTCCTCACCTTGGAACAGTAGTTTCTGCTGGCTTCATCATGACACGCAGCCTCTGTTCTCCTCAGGGTCCCCTCCCAACCGCAAGCGTCCTGCTAATGAGAAGGCCACAGATGACTACCACTACGAGAAGTTCAAGAAGATGAACAGGCGCTACTGAGACAGCGGTAGGGGCTGGATAGCACACAAACCCAGTGAGAAGTTTAAGAAGATGAGTGGACAGCACGTATGCACACACACTCACACGTGTCCCAGTGCAAACAGTGCCCTGCATAGAACCTGCTTGTTAGCTTTTGCTTACCTGCTAGACTTCTATTCTGGTTTTGAGTTGGAGACTGTGTATTCCTTGAATGCTCTCTTCTTCCCTTCTGGGATTTTAGAGGTTCCACCACACCTGACTGGCAATTTCAAGCACTAACTTTGTAACTTTCAAACAAGACATTATATTCTATGTCTTTTTTGTTTCCTACCTGAGACAAACTAGACAAACTATTCTCAAGAGTGTTATTAAATTGCTTTAAGATTTATTTGCATGTGGGTGTTTAGTTTTCATATATGTCTATGTAGCATGTGTGTACATGCAGTGCCTACAGAGGCCAAAGAAGGATGTTAGTTATTTTGCAATTGTAGTTACCCTTACTTGTGAGCCGCCATGTCCATGCTAGGAATCTAACCCAAGTCCTCTGGAAGAGCAGCCTGTGCTCTTAACTGCTGAGCCACCTCTCCAGTCTATTTAAATTGTGTTTTGGGATTGTATACACAGCCATGGTTTCCTTCACTATTTGAAATGGGGTTGAAAAAAACATCCGTCCTTGCTGGGTGTGGTGGCACACTCCTTTAATCCCAGCACTCTGGCAGAGGCAAGGGGATCTCCAGGAATTGAGATCTGCCTGATCTGCATAGTGAGTTTCAGGACAGCCAGTCAGAAAAGGGTGGGGGGAGAGTGCTGGTGGTGCTGGTGGTGGACACATGTGACCTGGTTCAGAGTGTCCAGTTCACAGCAGAAAAATGGTGGATGGGTCAGATACGCTGGCATTCCCTGACTCTTACAGAGCTACAAAGTTCATTTAATTAAGAAGGAAAAGTTCAGCCGGGCGGTGGTGGCGCATGCCTTTAATCCCAGCACTTGGGAGGCAGAGGCAGGCGGATCTCTGTGAGTTCGAGGCCAGCCTGGTCTACAGAGCTAGTTCCAGGACAGCCTCCAAAGCCACAGAGAAACCCTGTCTCGAAAAACCAAAAAAAAAAAAAAAAAAAAAAGAAGGAAAAGTTCTAGGACAGCTACAGTTGCACAGAGATACCCTGTCTCAAAAAAAAAAAAAAAAAAAAGAAAGAAAAAAGAAAAGGAAAAGGAAAGCAGCCTGGCATGGCACAAGCCTTTTTTTTTTTTCAAGACAGGGTTTCTCTGTATTGTTTTGTAGAGTGTCCTGGAACTCGACCAGGCTGGTCTCAAACTCACAGAGATCCGCCTGCCTCTGTCTCCTGAGTGCTGGGATTAAAGGCGTGCGCCACCAGTGCCCGGCGGCACAAGCCTTTTAGCCCAGCACTCAGCAAGCAGAGGCAGATCTCTGAGTTCTGGCCATCTAGAATTAGAAGCAGGCAAGTAAAAAAAACAACATGGAACGTTCATCTTATCTCTTTTAAAACTTGATTGTTAAATACAAACTGAGCCCAGCTCTCCTGTTTGCCTTGCGTTTCCTTCTGTTATGGGGCACCATAGAAGACTGCTCAGACACAGGTTTAAGCCAATAGACAGTCTTTATCTGCCAGCCAGCGACTACACTAGGTGCTCAGGATCTCAGTGTAGCCCTGGGCCTTTTCTCAGGATGAACTTGTTTGGTTTTTTTTGTTTGTTTGTTTTGTTTTTTGTTTTTTTTTTTGAGATAAGGTAGCTCTGCTTTGTAGAGCAGACTGGCCTCAAATTCACAGATATCCGCCTGCCTTTGCCTCCCAAGCACTGGGATTAAAAGTGTGTGCCACCACTGCCTGGCTCAGGGTGAAACTTTAAACACAAAAACCACGTCCCAGGTTCACATATTTAAATTAATCAAAAAGCAAGTTAGTACATTTTGAGACTTTCCCAGAACTATGGACTTTGATTGTTAGGTCTTTCTTTTCATTTTGGCAGATGATGCTGTCTACATGCTGTGTTTTACAGCCTGAATGGTACCTCCATCAGGGAGCCAGTTGTGCTAAGATCTGAAGGCCTGTTACACTTCCAGTAACAGGCAGGATTTTCAGATCTCAGGGGTTGGATATATGTCAGAGGAGCACGTGGGGCCATGGGACAACCAGTAACGAAAAAAAAAAAGGGGGGGGGCTGGATGTGAGCCCCTTTTGGCAGAGTGCTTGGCTGTCAGTAAACAGCTTGGTATTCATTCTCCATAAAGAGTTCAAGTACAGTCTGGTTGTAAACAAAAAATGGACAGGGCATGGTTCACACACCTTTAATCTCAGCCCCCAGGAGCAGATGCAGGCACCTCTGAGTTCCAGGACATCGGTCTACAGAGTGAGTTCCAGGACAGTCAGGACTATACAAAGACACCTCCCCCCACCTCACTTCCCCCACCCCTTTGGGCCTGAATTGGTCTCTACCTTAATGTGTAGCTGAGAATGACCTTGGACTTCTCATCCTCTTATACCTCTTGGGATTACAATTCCTGGCACAGGTGATTCCTGTAGACACTTTGCCCTCAACAGGGTCAAGCATAACACCCCACGGCCTACGTGTGGGCCTTGCACACTGATCCTTCCAAAGAGAAGAGAGATCCAGAGGGAACCTCATAGTGGGGAAACATGTATACGATGCCTCTGCTGGCTAGTTTTCGTTAGTGACACAAACCTAGACATAGGTGGGAAGACAAGACCTCAACTGAGGAATTGCCTTCATCAGATTAGCCTGGGGGACTTTTTCTTAATTACGAATTGATAGGGGAAGGCCCAGTCTGCTGTGGGTGTCCTGGGCAAAAAAAAAAAAAAAAAAAAAGGCCGGGCGTTGGTGGCGCACGCCTTTAATCCCAGCACTTGGGAGGCAGAGGCAGGCGGATCTCTGTGAGTTCGAGGCCAGCCTGGTCTACAGAGCTAGTTCCAGGACAGCCTCCAAAACAATGCAGAGAAACCCTGTCTCGAAAAACCAAAAAAAAAAAAGGTAGCTGAGGAGCTAGAGAGAGGGCTCAGTGGTTAAGAGCTCTGACTGCCCTTCCAAAGGACGTGGATTCAATTCCCAGCACCCACATGGCAGCTCACAGCTGTCTGTAACTTCAGTTCCAGGGGACCTGACACCCTCACAGACATGCATGCAGGCAAAACACCAATGCACATTAAAAAAAAAGAAAGGTTGTGAAATAATCTCTTCATACACTGAAATGTGTCACTCTGATTGGTTTAATAAAAAGTTGAATGGCCGGGGGCTGGAGAGATGGCTCAGAGGTTAAGAGCACTGCCTGCTCTTCCGGAGGACCTGAGTTCAATTCCCAGCAACCACATGGTGGCTCACAACCATTCGTAATGAGATCTGGTGCCCTCTTCTGGTGGCCAAGCATAGAACACTATATGCATACATAATAAAAATAAATAAAAAAAAAGAAGGAAAGTAATTAAAAAAAAAAGTTGAATGGCCAATAGCTGGGCACGGTTTCCAGGCACAGAGGATGCTGGAAAGAAGGGTGGAGTCGCAAGGAGATGCAGAGGAAGCATGACATGTAGGAGATGAGGTAACAAACCACGAGCCACGTGGCAGCACACAAATTAATAGGAATGGGTTAATTTAAGTTCTAAGAGCTAATTAGAAACACCCTATTGACTTTCTTAGTAAGTCTCCATGTGGTTATTTGGGAACTGGCTTGCAGGACAGAAAAAAGTCTGCCTACGAAAGGTAGCTGAGCAAGCCAGAGGGAAGAAGCTAGTAAGCATTGTTCCGTGGTCTCTTCATTTTAGACGCTCAGGTTCCTACCTTGAGTCCTGCCTTGGCGTCCCTTAATGTTGGACTGTACCTGTAAGATGAAATAAACCCTCTCCTTCCATAAGTGGCTTTTGGTCATGGTGTTTACCATAGTAATTGAAAGCAAATTAGAACTGTCTCAGCTAAGTTCAGTGTTGGCAATCAAGCCATGCTGACAATGTGACCCTGTATAGGATGAGGTGGAAATAGCCCTTTACGTTGGCAGTCCCCTTCCAGAACCCCGGACCCTAGTCTAATGATGAGAAAACCCTCAAATTCCAGTAGAGGGGCAATCTACAAGGATTTTCAGGGTGAAGGTATAATATACGATGTCAAATTTTTATTTCTTTTGAGGAAAGGGTCTCACTGTGTAGCCCTGGCTGCCCCTAGAATTTGCAGTGTAGGCCAGGGTGACTCCATCTCACAAGAGATCCACCTACATCTGCCTCCCAGAGTGTTGGGATTAAAGTTGTGTGCCAAAATACCCAGCATTCAAATGTCAGTTTTTGTTTTTGTTTTTTGCTTTTTTTTTTTTTTGAGACAGGATCCACTTTGTATCTTCGGCTGGCCTGAAACTCGTTACAGATCACCTACCTCAGCTTCTTGAGTGCTGGGATTAAAGGCGCACACCACCCACAGCACCTTGACCAAATGTCAGATTTTAATAATAGGGAACCAGAGGTGGGGCCCGGGGTGTCATATAGGAACTCATTATATTATTCTCACATTTCTCATTCATTTTTGCATTATATGTATGCCCACATGAGTTTATGTGCACCTCGTGCTTGTAGATACCTGCGTCATCTTAGGTATCTTAGTAAAAACTGTCCTAAGATATTCTGTTATTTGATGAGGGTGGAGGAAGCAGATCCACCTGATTCCTATAACCTCAATGCTCAGAAGCAGGAAGGGCTGTACCCTTAACAAAGATGGCAGCCGCTAGCGTTAGAGGACGGCCTGCCCGAGACAAAGAGGGCGGCCCCGCAGGCAGGAACCGGAAACGCGCGTTGGGCGGTGCGCGGGGTACGGCGGGCGCTGGGACGCGCAAGCGGCGCGGGTCCGGGCATGAAGCTGGGCCGGGCCTCACTGGCCCTGCTGCTGCTGGCGCCGAGCGCGGTTCGAGCGGTGGAGCCCATCAGCCTGGGCCTGGCCCTGGCCGGCGTACTCACCGGCTACATCTCCTACCCGCGCCTCTACTGCCTCTTTGCCGAGTGTTGCGGCCAGAAGCGGAGTCTCAGCCGGGAGGGTAGGCGGGCACCAGGGACGGGGCCAGGAGGCAGGGGTGCTGCGGCGGGGGGGATGGTGCCGCGGCCAAGCTAGACTTTGGTCCGAGGCCTGAGAAATGAGTTGCCGGGCCGGGGGTAGGGTGTCAGCCCTGCGCGGAGCTCACCGGGGCGGCCTCACCGCGTCTCTTCCTTCCGCTTGGCTCTGGGGAACACCCCCAAGCTCAGGCCTTAGGAAGGGCAGGGTTCGCGGCACCAGGGTCCTTCAGAGCTCTCCAGACTAGGCTCGCGGCTCTGACAGCCTGGAAATGGGGCTTCATTTTACCTACTCCTCCCCTGACCAGAGTGGTCTTTCCATTCCCAGCGCTGCAGAAGGATCTGGATGACAAGCTCTTTGGACAGCATCTTGCAAAGAAAGTCATCTTAAACGCCGTGTCTGGTTTCCTAAGCAACCCGAAGCCCAAGAAGCCCCTGACCCTCTCCCTGCACGGGTGGACAGGCACGGGCAAGAACTTCGCCAGCAAGATCATCGCAGAGAATATTTACGAGGGTGGACTCAACAGTGACTATGTGCACCTGTTTGTGGCCACGCTGCACTTCCCCCACGCCTCCAACGTCACCCTGTATAAGGCAAGACCATTAATTGGCCGCCTTCGTGGATGACGCGGGTTTGGGGCTTCTCTGTTGTGAGACGGGATGTGGGAATTCCACGTCAGTAAGTGAGCCTCGGTATGGCTCTTTATATGTCAGTTTCTCTTTAAAAGGCGTGGCCATAGCTGGCAATGGTTATGTCAGCTATTCTGGAGGCAGAGCGAGAAGCTGGAGGAACTACAGTTGAGGATAGTCTACGCAGTGCAGATCGTGATCGTGTTCCAAAGGAAATATCAAGGGCTGGGAATAGCTCAGGGTAGAGCGCTTCTGCCCACGCTGCTGCCGCAGCGGGAGTGATGGTGAATTGTAACTTACAGAGGGTTTGCGATCCGGAGAGCAATGAGGCCACCAGAGTTTTAAGGGTGACCTCTAGGCTCAGTATCGGTTGACTGTGGACAAGTGGGGACGTAATCCAATCCAACTTCAGGGTCTTCAGGTCCCATCCATAGCGTGAAAAGGAAACACGGAGGTGTAAGTTTGCTTTGACCTGGCTGTTGCAACCTGCTTTTGGAGTTTAACTCTAGTTAAGAGCCCACACCTGAATTCAGGTCCTAACTCTCCCCCGCCCCAGCTCACCTGAGAAGCACACTCTTACACTAACGGTGCTTTGGCCTCACTTGTGTAAAGTACACCCCCACACCTCCATACCCCCTCACCCCCTGCTTTCTGTTAAACATTAGAACCCCCACCTCCACCCCAGGGGTTTCTTTGTGTAGTCCTGGCTGTCCTGGAACTCACTTTGTAGACCCGGCTGACCTCGAACTCACAGAGATCCACCTGCCTCTGCCTCCTGAGTGCTGGGAATAAAGGTGTGCACCACCACCACCTGGCTAGGTATTTAATCTCTGCCTGTGATCAGCTGGGTGTTTTCTACACACCTGTATTCCTAGCAGGCTGAGGCAGGAGGATCATCTGTTTGAGGCTAGTCTGGGCTACACAGTGAGCCTCGGTTTGAAAACAGGCAAGGAGAGGGCAAATAGAGAAAGAAAAAAATAGAGGCCCAATAGCATCGCCTCAGTAGCATTTGGGAGGTGGTTTAAAATGTCCAGTGAGCAGTACTTAGAATGGTGTTTTGCTGTGGTGCCCTGCACATGGCCTGTAGGAGACTGGACAAACCCTGTCTGCTGGGCTCACAATGTGAATGGTCACTTGTCTCGTGGTGTTAGCAGGCCACTCTGGGTCTCTGAAGGTTCCTCTAAGGCAGTGGGTCTCAACCTTCCTAATGCTGTGACCCCCAACCATAAGATTACTTCCTTGCTACTTCATAACTAATTTTGCTACTGTTATGAATCATAATGTAAATATCTGATATGCCAGATATGGATACAAGAACCTGTGAAAGGATCATTTGGTCCCAAAGGGGTTGAGACCCACTGCTCTAAGGGGAAGATGGTCCACACCTGCAGATTTGCTGCTTACATTGGATACAAATGGAACACTGTAACCATGGTCACAAGGAGCGAGGGGACAACCCCAAGCATGTGCACAATGTAACCGCTAGTGTGTTCTTTAGAAAAATGTATAGCTGATTTCCCTCCTCACCTCAGGAGGAGGGGGGAAATGCCTATAGATCGTGTAGAGTTTTGGCTCAATTTTCTGAGGAAAATGCTTAAAGAAATCTGTGTCTCACCTTGGTGGCTTAGTATGTAACTGGCCTAGCATGAGTGAGACCCTGGTATCATTTTTTGGCATCTGCCTCCACCAAAACACCAAATACAAATAAGGTTAGTTTTTTTTGTTTGTTTGTTTTTGTTTTTTGAGACAGCTGTTCATGTGCTCATTGTTGTAGCCTGGGCTGACCCTGAACTTTTTTTTTTTTTAAGATTTATTATGTATACAGTGTTCTGCCTGCATGTATGCCTGCTGGCCAGCAGAGGGCACCAGATCTCATTATAGGTGGTTGTGAGCCACCATGTGGTTGCTGGGAGTTGAACTTGGGACCCCAGGAAGAGCAGTCAGCACTCTTAACCTCTGAGCCATCTCTCCAGCCCCCTTGAACTCTTTTATTATTTTAATTTTTGTGTTCTAAAATTTTGTGTGCTTGTGTGCATGGGGCCATAGATCTGTCTCTAGTGGTGTTCATCAGGATCTGTTAACTTTTTTTGAGACAGGGTTTTTCATTGAGACCTGGCGCTGCCAACTAGGCGAGGCCCAGTAATCCTGTCCTCGCCTCCTCAGCACTGTGGTTTGAAGCACATACAGCCACGCCTGCCTTCCTCACCGGGGTGCTTGTAAGCAGGCACTTTACTCAGTAAGCTTTCCTCCCACCCCTGGCCTGGAACTCTTGCTCTGTCTCCACTGGGTCACAGATGCACGTCACTAAGCCCATCTCCAGATGTGAACTTGTAGGTTTTTTTTTTTTTTTTTTAAAGACAAGGTTTTTCTGAAGCTTTGGAGGCTGTCCTGGAACTCACACAGAGATCTGCCTGCCCGTGCCTCCTGAGTGCTGGGATCAAAGGTGTGTGCCACCACTGCCTGGCTCCAGATATGTTGTTACGGTGTGCTCCTGGCCAGGCAGGTTTATTTAGAAGTCTAATCCACCCTCCCAGGAAGCTGAGTGTTCGAGTTCAGACTCCCTAAGGGAGCCCTGTGCAGTTTCCCTGCCTGTGCATCAGCGCTTCTCTGAGCTGGACTGTGGAGGAAGGATGAGATGACAGTGGGCTTCTGCCGCCTACCGAGTGACTACGTCACAGGATATATGTGACATTGCCGTTGTGAGGGCAGAGCCTGGCTGACGTGGCATCAGTGTGGGCGCGATGTATCGCCACAAATCCAGAGCTTTGGCATAGGCAGGGCTGGATTGAGATCCCAGTTTGCCCCAGCTTAGTTATATTGTCTTAGGCTGCTGAAGCACTCTATACCTCAGTGTCCTCACCTGAGGCATGGGTATGATGCTGCCCATACACGAAGGTGAGGGAAAGGGGGGTGTGGGGGGTGTTGCTCACAGCACAGTGCTCCAGAAGTGCAGCCAATGGCCTTGGGAGGCAAAGTTGTTCCGAGCGCCTGGGTGTGGCTGACCGAGGGCTTTCTTAGCACTAGTGAAGCTCTGAGTAGAGCTGCACAAAAACAAACCTAAAGCTGACAGAATTGCTCCTGCTATAGCTCTGAGTGGGCCCTGTTGTCCTTCAGGACCAGCTACAGATGTGGATTCGAGGCAACGTGAGTGCCTGTGCTCGGTCCATCTTCATCTTTGACGAGATGGACAAGATGCACGCAGGCCTTATTGACGCCATCAAGCCTTTCCTAGACTATTATGACGTGGTAGACGAGGTCTCCTATCAGAAGGCCATCTTCATCTTCCTCAGGTGAGGCTGGGGCATGGCGGGCCACCCTTGCGCCTGGACCGGGGGGCTTTGGGGAGAAGGGCAGCCCTTCCTGACCGCAGCTGTTTCTTCAGCAACGCCGGGGCAGAGAGGATCACAGATGTGGCTTTGGATTTCTGGAAAAGTGGGAAGCAGAGGGAAGAAATCAAGCTTAGAGACATGGAGCATGCCCTGGCCGTGTCGGTCTTCAATAACAAGAACAGTAAGTGTGGCCGTCCTTCAGGAGTCCAGCCCGCGAGTCCTACACCACAGTTCTATCCATCTAGGAACTGTATCTGCCGTAGTCTCAATGCTTCCCCAAGCCAGCCGAATTCCCGAGGGAAATCTGTTAACGAGCCACAGGAGAGTTTATAAATGCTGAAGTTGGGCTGCACCACTGGTCAGTTGTTGAGACAGGGTTTGCTCTGCGTTTCTTGTAGAGGAAAAAGCAGGTAGCTAAGCCGGGAGAAGGCCACTGTATGACTGCAGGGCAAGAGGTAACTAGGTTAGGACTCCCCCTTTGCAGTACCCTAGGACTCTGCCCAACCATGGCTGGGCCTTCCCGCTGTACCAGACGCTTGTCTGCCCATTCCTTTGTAGATAGATGCCTGTTGTCCCATTCTTTACAGAGGACACTGGGGGTCAGTGTAGAGCTTGTCAGCACCACACAGGCAGCTAGGTGACTAGTCAAAGTGTTGTGTTATTCCTGTACAAATGGAATACTGCTGAGGAAAGTTGAACATTTTGTTACATGTTGAAAAGTCTCTTCATGCCGGGCGGTGGTGGCGCTCGCCTTTAATCCCAGCACTCGGGAGGCAGAGGCAGGCGGATCTCTGAGTTCGAGGCCAGGCTGGACCGACAGCCTCCAAAACAATACAGAGAAACCCTGTCTCAAAAAACAAAAAGTCTCTTCATGCTAAAAAAGGATGACTGCACACAACGGGAAATCCAGAGTGATGTGACTGTGTGTCGAAGGTGGAGAGGGCCCCCTGCAGGAACTCCAGAGTGATGTGACTGTGTGTCGAAGGTGGAGAGGGCCCCCTGCAGGAACTCCAGAGTGATGTGGCAGCAATACATCAGAACTGTGTGTTGAAGGTGGAGAGGGCCCTGCAGGGCTGTAGATGGGGTAAGAGACAGTCAGGCACCTGGCTGGGTAGTGGAGTACTGACGGTGCTGGGCGGACAGAAGAGCAGCCTTGGCAGAGGTTGCATGTGCTTGAGACACCCTGGCTGGGAGGACACACATCAGAGATGGCAGCATATGGATGTTTATACTTGCATGTTGTCCAGACTCAAACCATCTGAGGTCTACTGGTTCTGCTGAGCACTTGGTGGGTCAGGTGGTTGGGTGCACGTCATTCAGGCTATGGTTAGGGTCTCCTCCCCAGCCAGGCCAGATGCCCCCAGCTACAATCCCCAGGGCTCCGTGTACACCTGGCCACAGGGTAGGCCTGCAAGACAGCAGTCACCCTGATGGCTGCTCCATAGTCTAGTCACTTTTGTTCTTTGCTGTGGCCACAGGTCCTCACTGAGTACGATCAGAGTGCAGGGCTCCATTGGGAACTGAGAACATAGACCCTGGGCTCTGTGCACAGCTTGCACTGGGAGCCAGAACACAGAGATTAGAGTTAAGTAGGACATGAAGACATGTCATGAGCTTTTGGGGCATCCAGCAGGTGCTGAGTCAGGTGTTCTCAGTACTGGGAGACTGAGCTGTGCAGTTAGGCTTCTGCAGGGAAACACTTGTCAGCGTCCACACCTTTGAGCTGCACAGCCTCCCTGCACACATTACCACCTCCAGGCATTGCTTCCAGAATGCTTTGCATGGTTTGGGCACTGGAAGCAGCAGTGGATTCTTTAATTGCTGCTCTAGCTGCTGAAGCTCTGAGGACAGACTACAGTTCCTAGATGGAGACTGGCTGGTGGAGGCCGTCTCTGGGGATAGCCCTCCCTTATCTCTTCTTTGCACCTCTTCCAACCTGTCCATCGGTTTCTCACCACACTGCCTGGACCCCAGCACACAGTCACAGTATGGTGCATGTGACCTCCAACCCGCCTCCCATCTCTAAGGTACCCTGGAGAGACCTTTCCAAACCCACAGCACTGAAGTGTCCCTTTTAAAGCTTTGTGTGTCTGTGTCTCCACCCACTGGACCTAGAGTTACATGTGGTTATGAACAGCCTAGAGAGTACTGGGACCCAACTCAGGTCCTCTGCAGGGAGCAACAAGTGTTCTTGACTGCTGATCCATCTCTCCAGCCCCAAGGAGTCTGTCCCTTTACATCACCCTGCCCTTGCTGTCAGAGCAGCATCACAAGACAGTGTGGGAAGTTTCCAGCTTCTGTTTCTCTCCCTCAGTGTATGGAGATGGGGGTAGTGTGTAGGGAGTGGTCTCCTGGCTCTATCTCAAAGGCTGTCCCTCAGTAAACACCTAGTAGTTGTGCTGAATGGACAGATGAACATTGAGTGGCACCTTTTGGTCTTTTTCCCAGGTGGCTTCTGGCACAGCAGCCTCATTGACCGGAACCTCATTGATTATTTTGTCCCCTTCCTGCCCCTGGAGTATAAGCACTTGAAAATGTGTATCAGAGTTGAGATGCAGTCCCGTGGCTATGAAGTAGATGAGGACATTATAAGCAAGGTGGCTGAAGAGATGACATTCTTCCCCAAGGAGGAGAGAGTCTTCTCTGACAAGGGCTGCAAGACTGTGTTCACCAAGCTGGACTACTACCTGGACGACTGAGCCCTGCTGCAGAGGCTCGCACTGTCAGGCCTCTCCTCTTCCAGGAAGTGGCTCATGCCTTGTGGACTGTTTCTGCTCCTCAGAGCCTGCAGGTGGCCGTACTGTAGGGACTACAGACACAACAGGGACCCAAAGCTTCCTGGGGCCTCCAGAGGATGACACCTCCCAGCCTGCCCATTCCCAGGCTCATGATTTCTTAAAAATTATGTTTTAATTTCAGGTGTTTCTGTTTCAAAGCAGAACAAGTTAAGTTTTACTGCAAATGTGACAACTTTATTTTAAATGGTTTTTAATACTATGAGAAACCTTTTAGCTGTTGGCTTTGTGTGTCTTTTGAAACTGTCAGGATAACATCACCAGTGTTTCTAGTACAGAGGCCCAACCATGGGTATCCGCTGCATGGATGGTATCTTAGGTGGGAAAAAGGGACTGGCCCTAGGGGACTGAAGCCAGCCTAGCCAGGGGCCATGCAGGGGACCAGCTCATCACAAATGCACCCTCTTCCTTGTACTCAGAGCATGGGAACAAGTTTAGTGGCATTGTGGCTGTCAGGTCCACTCCAGCTACCTAGCAGGCAGAGCTCCAGATGGGCTTGTTTTGTGCCAAGAGGCAGGGCTCCTGTGGGTGTGGCTGCCATTCAGGGCACTTGCAGGGTTGGGTTTAGCAAGGAGAAAAGGGCCTGAAGGTCCAACAAGTCAAGAACTAGGTCAGCTGCTGGCAGGACCACTCTGCCTCTGCAACCAGCCTGGTGAGGGCTCCCAACGATGGTTCCCGGTCCCCAGCAGTCATCTCTGATCACTCACCTACAGATGGAGCCCAAGCACTGAGCCCTGAGGGGCACAGACGTGTCTTTGTAGCTGTGACAGAGTAGGTACAGTGCTGGGTTCAGCTAAGAAAGGGAGCAGCAGGGGGATGGTGAAGAGGGGGGCTTACCTACCTAGACTGTTCTGTCCAGAGACAGAGCCATAGTAGTGCAGCATAGTTAAAAACCTGTCTCTGGCAGCTCCCTACCTCTGAACTCCAGAGCCTCTCAGAAAGGTAGAGAATATTTGAAGGTGCCCAACTTTGACCTCTCCATGTGTGTGCATGTGATTATCCACTCCTCACCTGGGCAGACACACCACACACATGGGCATCCAGGTGTGGAAAAGTAAGGGATTCATTCCGAGTTCAGTTTGCTACCACACAAATGAGGGAAAATTTAGTAACAGTAACATCTCACAGCGCACCACACTGGTTTTATTAGTCTGCATCCAACTCTGTTAATGCCTTCTCACAGGCCAGCCCAGGCCTTGCCAAGTCACAGATCAGTAACAGCAGTCCAAAGGTGGCCAACACGTGTCCACATATTGCATCATTGTAAACAGAAAGGCTTGTTTCTTCTTGATCAGGCACTCAACAGGTTATAAATGGTAGCTTGGCTCCAACCCAAGCATATGGCATGGAACTTCCTCATCTTGGCAGGCTTTTGTCTGCTTTCTGCTTTGAGACGGGGTCTCTGTATGTAGCTCGGCCTAGGCTGGCCTCCCAAGTTGAGGCAGTCCTGCCATGGCCTCCCAGGTGCTGGGACTAAAGGTATACACCACCACACCCAGCTCACCTGGGCATTTTTAAAAGACTAAGATTCTCTATAAGGCATCTCCACGTTATAAAAACAGTCATTCTACCACACTCTGTAAAAACACAGCACAGTCTTCTCATGTCTGCAGCTGCACTGTAGTGATAGACAGAATGGTTAAAGGCTGGAGTCACAGACGTGCTCTCCTACCGTCAGAACAGCCCGGTATGGTTAAAGGCTGGAGTCACAGACATGCTCTCCTACAGTCAGAACAGCCCGGGACTGCCACTCAAGACACCACCCAGAGGTTACACCCAGGACCCACCGCAAACAGGACTGTGGGGTCTAAAGTTGTGCCCATATAATTCCACTCTACACATTTTAACAATAAAAACTTTTAAGAATTTCACATAGCTCAGGCTAGCCTCAAATTTACAACATAGCAGAGGAACCCTGAGTCCTGATCTTCCTGCTAGGAGAAAGGGCATTGTGTCCCACACCCAGCAACAATAAACCTGAGAATATTAAGAATACTTAGTCTATTTTATGTCTTTCCTAGGTTTTTGTCTTTTGAAACTGGGTTTCTCTGTGTAGCCCTGGCTATCCTGGAACTCTCTATAGACCAGGCTGGCCTTGAACTCAGAACTCAGAGATCTGCCTGTCTCTGCCTCCCAAATGCTGGATTAAAGGTGTGTGCCACCACCGCCAGGTGCTTCCTAAGTTTTAAAACACATGGCATCTTATATTTTTACCTAACGTTTAGAAGTAAAAAAAACGTGTTTTAAAAATATACGTGTCCTTCGCCGGGCGTTGGTGGCGCACGCCTTTAATCCCAGCACTCGGGAGGCCAGCCTGGTCTACAAGAGCTAGTTCCAGGACAGCCTCCAAAGCCACAGAGAAACCCTGTCTCGACAAACCAAAAAAAAAACAAAAACAAAAAAAACGTGTCCTTAAAAAAAAAAAAAAGGCAGCATCTCTGGTGTGTGGCCCCTCCTGCAGGCGGAGTCTGTGCACACTGGGGGTGTGGCCAGGCCAGTCCTGGTCTAGCACTAAGGCTTCCTGTGCATGAGACTGGTGCTGTACAGCTGAGCTTGACCTTCAGAGCAAGTCTAACAGGCAAACGAACCAGACCTCCTTCAAAGCTGATGGCCCAGCTGATGGCCGTTCTGACATGACCAGGGATGAGGCTGGGGTGAATCTAACAGTTCACGAGACATGGTCCAAGGCATGCTGCAACGCATACACAGTAGGAGTGAGAGAATCCCACAGCCAGGGCTGTGAGCAGCAGCTAAGGTAAGGTATAGCTTCGAAGGCTGTCCCTGTGTGCTACAAGGACCTTATAGACAGTCCCTACTGCTCACTGACAGTGCAGCCGAGGTCAGGCCCACATGCTCCCCTCAGACACCAGCATCTGCTTCTGAAAACTCAGTGCCAGCTCAAGGCAAAAAAAAAAAAAAAAAAAAGCAGAGGTGGTGCTCCTGGAGAGAAAAGTCTGGTTCCCCAAGGCTGCAACAGGGTGTGTAGCCCATTAGTGGCATCTGAGGCATGGGCACCACTGGCACTGTGTTCCGATTTTCTAGGCACTTGATCCACATTCGTCTTCAGCTGCTGCCACGCAGCACTGACAGCATCCCCAGAGTCCACAGGTGCAAATGTGCAAACCCCAAGGGGGTCTTCAAAGTGCTTCGGCAAGGCAAGGCCCTGGAGGAGCGGGAGGCTCCCCGAATCCTCCCACCCTGTGGGGTGAGGAGCTCACTGGAAATCCAGCCGTGACTGCACAGTCTTGCAGCCCTTGTCTGAGTAGATCTTCTCATCCTTGGGGAAAAATGTCATTTCATCTGCCACCCTGGTGACGACGTCTTCATCGACAGCATCCCCCCGAGCCCGCATCTCTGCCCGCACACACATCTTCACGTGTCTGTACTCCAAGGGCAGGAAGGGGATAAAGTAGTCGATGAGGTTTCTGTCTATCAGCCCACTGTGCCACAGACCACCTGCAGAACGAGAGAGTGGGTGTCTCAGCACTGCCACCTGGCCACATCCCACATCTGATCCTGGTCCATCCTTCATGTCTTTACCCTGGAGACTCTGTCAAGTGACGTATGCACTCATAATACCGTAAGAAAACTCCCTATGGCAGCAAAGCCACAAGCAAGAGCGATGCTGGCTTTGCAAGCCACTGTCGAGAAGCTGCTCAGTGCCAGCAGAGCACGGAGTGCCCCCACTCCACATGGACTCACTGTGCTTGTTGTTGAAGACACCCACGGACAGCACGGGCTCCAGGTCCTTCAGCTGGATCTCTTCCCTCTTCCTTCCTGCTCGCCAGAAGTCCAGGGTCGTCTTAGTTATCAGGTCCCCGCCTGCATTACTGAGTTGGCCAGAGATGCAAAGATCGGTATCACACTTCAGTTATCCCCATCTCCTTGCCAAATACATTTACCCAAGGCTTCATTCCTTTTCAAATGCTAGCACCAACCCTCAGAGTCCTTTGCCTCTAAGCAAGTATCACCATAGCACCAGATGACACCCCCGCTTCCGGGGGTGCCCCACTTCTAGTGCTCCAGAGCTTTTTTGTTTTGTTTTGTTTTTTGAGACAGGGTTTCTCTGTGTGGCCTTGGCTGTCCTGGAACTCACTCCACAGGCTGGCCTTGAACTCACAGAGATCCACCTGCCTCTGCCTCCCGAGTGCCGGGATTAAAAGCCTGCGCCGCCACCACCGCCCAGCTAGTTAGTGCTCCAAAGCTTTAATCCAGGACTATTTGCAACATGCTACCAGATAAGGACAAAGTGTGTCTGCCTGCAAGGAATGCAAATGCTGTGTCTAGAGGGGCTGGCAGGAGCAGCGAGTGCCTCACCGAGGGGTCACTCTGGCTCATCCCCAACCCAGTTTCCATGCCAGACACTGGGAAGTAAGAAGACAAGTGAGCCATGGCTTTCTTTGCCAAGATGGCAGTTCTGTCCTGGATAGCCAGGACAGCCTCATTCTAGCATCGTGGCTAACCTGAGGAAGATGAAGATGGCTTTGCGGTAGGAAATCCCATCCACCTGCTCATAGTAGTCTAGGAAGGGCTTGATTGCATCGATGATCCCAGGATGCAACTTATCCATCTCGTCGAAGATGAAGACGGAGTTGCCACACGCGCTCACGTTGCCTCGGATCCACTTCTGGAGCTGGTCCTAGACCAACCGTAAAGAGAGGCACAGCTCAGAGGATGTTCCAGAGCTCCCTGGGCTTTGAGGAGCCCCCACACAACAGGTAGACATTTCCAAACTTTGTCACAAGTGGAAAGGCACTAACGACCTAAGCCTGGCCATCTGAGTTCGATCCCTGGGACCCACATGGTGGAAGGAGAGAACGGACTTCTAAGAACTATCTGCTGACCAACACATATATGCCCACGGTGTGCCTGTGCATGTGTCTGTAACCTCAGCCCTCAGCAACAAAACGGGAAGTAGAGAGTCGGGCAGAAGCTGGTTGGGCAGCTCAGCCTCGGACAAGGAAGAAGGAAAGAACCCGGAGCTGCTGCTTCCCAGAAACTGTATCACAGCAACAGGAAAAGAAACCGAGACTCCAGCACACAGAGAAACGACAACTGGATTCAGACCCTCACAATGCATCCATGTCGGGCTGAGCTGGCTGACAGAATGCCCTGGGGAGGCCACAACACTTGCAAATACTGTATTCAAGGGATCTATAATAAAATTTGGAAAACATGAATTTTACTTTGTGGTGGGGACTGTAGCCTGGTGGCAACAGCACTTCCTCAGCACGAGCAAACCTTAAAATAAACCTGTCCCGGCAGGGCGTTGGTGGCGCACGCCTTTAATCCCAGCACTTGGGAGGCAGAGGCAGGCGGACCTCTGTGAGTTCAAGGCCAGCCTGGTCTACCGATCGAGTTCCAGGACAGCCTCCAAAACAATACAGAGAAACCCTGTCTCGAAAAACCAAAAAAAAAAAAAAAATAATAATAATAATAAAGCTGTCCCTTCCCTTTGGCACTCCTCCCTGCCTTACTGTTAAGACAACAGAGACTCACTTTCATGACCTTCTTCCCAGTTCCTAGAAGGACCAGCACCAACAAGTAAGCAGTCACTTAAGTCAGAGTGAGCCGTGCAATGTGCAGAGCTCTCACGAGGACAAAGACTGGAGGGTGGGAGGAGCCAAGGGAATCAAAACTGGTTAGAGGAAATCCTCTCAGAACCCAGCAAGACACAGGCAAAGCAGAGGCTGCAGCACAGGTGGAGAGCTTTCGAAGAGGCCATGCCCAAGCCAACTAGTGGGCTGCCCTACCCAACACCCTATGCCCTGCTGGGAAGGCGAGTCACTTTTTGGGTGCCTAAGACGGGCTGAGAGACAGAGGGAGGCGATGAGTACAGGCCGTAAGAACAAGTCACCTTGCCTCTCTTGCCCATCGGTCCTCATTCCAGTCCCCTTCCTTCTCCCTCACCCAAGCCCAGGGATTGAACCTATGACCTCCCACACACAAGCTGGCTCCATCATTTTTCTTTGTTTCGAGACAAGGTTTCTCTATGTGTAGCCCTGGCTGTCCTGGAACTCACTCTGTAGACCAGGCTGGTCTCGAACTCACAGAGATCCACCTGCCTCTGCCTCCCAAGTGCTGGGATTAAAGGCGTGCGCCACCACTGCCCTGCTGCTGGCTCCTTCTCTTAATGTACACACCATCCCCTACCTCACTGAATTTATTTTGTAATAGCAATTTTAAGAGCGAGAAGGCTGAACATGTTGAGGCACACCTATAATCCCAGAACTCTAGAAGGTGAAGGTAGGAGAGTCAGAAGTTCAAGGCCAGCCTCAGCTATATAGTTAATTTGGTGCCAACCTGGGCTACACAGACCCACACACACACACACACAAACACACGTGCCATTAAGATGAGCAACGTGGTGGACGCCTGTTAACCTCGGTTCCCCGAAAGCTGAGGCAGTAGGATCCCTAACATCAAGGCCAGCCTGGGCTACATAATGGGACCTTAGCTCAAAAAGTATACATAAATACAGGCTAGGCAGAGAGGCCCACCCTTTAATCCCAGCACCCGGGAAGCAGAGGCAGGGGGATCTCTGTGAGTTTGTGGCCTGCCAGACCTACATAGTGAAATTGTCAACAAACAACAGAAAGCAGAAAGCAAAGCAGAGGCCATATGAAGCTATGGCAAGGCGGAGAGACACAGAAGCCGGAGCTGCCTAGCAGGCGGCCCAGGCACGAGAACAGGTAGCAATAGGTTTCCTTGCCTGGTACAGTTTTATCTGCTGCTCGTGAGGGAAGTGCAGAGTAGAGACGAACAGGTGAACAAAGTTACTCTTCAGGCCTTTTGGGTGAAGGTTTTCAGCCACGATCTGGCTGACAAAATTCTTGCCCGTGCCAGCCCAGCCGTGCAAGGACAGAGTCAGTGGTTTCTTGGGGTTTTTATTGTTCCTGAAGCCCGTCAGTGCCTTGAGAATCACTTCGGTGGCGAGGTGCTGTCCAAACAGCTTCTCCTCCAAGTCCAGCTTGAGGGCTGCAGAGGCCAGCCCGGGACAGAAAGAAAACACAAGTTAAAAAAGCACCTGGAACCGGCCAGAGAGAGGCACAGCTTAGCGACTGACTGAGCAGCAGGGGCTCTGCCAAGCTTCAGAGCCCGAACCTGAAGGATCCCGAGTCAGACCCGTAAGCGGCAGTTCTCCCCAACACTTGGGCGTCTCACAAGGAAGCTACGCGGCTTCACTCATCCAGGGAAGAGCCACTTCGCGGCTGAGCTCCGAGCTGGCTTTCCCGCCACCCCTGCTGGCCCGGGAAAGAACGCAAGAGCCGAAGGCGGGCTTTCTGGACGGAGGCGCACGCCTGACAGCCACCGAGGGCACGCGCTGCTGGCCCCGCCGCGCTCAGCTCAGTTCTCCCAGCGGTCCTCGAAAGGTCTGCGAAGGAGTGCGGCTTCGGGCTGCAGGTGGGACCGAACTCCCGGCGCACGCACGCCCGCCCGCCCGCCCGCCCCGAGCGGCCCGCGGGCGCGTACCCGACGCGTTGAGGGGCCGTTCCTCATTGCAGCACTCGGCGAAGCGGCAGTAAAAGTCGGAGTAGGACAGGTAGCCGGTGAGCGCCGACACGGCCCCGATGGCGATGCCCACGCTCACCGGCTCGAACGCCGCCGCCACGCGGGCGGCCAGCAGAGCCCACAGGACCGCGGAGCCCCCGAGCGTCCTGCCCCGCCCCATCGCGCGCCTCCGAGAGAACTGCCGCCGCGCTCAGAGTCAGCCCCGGCGGTGCCGCAGACCTACTTCCCATACGGAGCGTCACTTCCGCCTACCCAGAGAGCGGCCATGCCGGAAGCGGGTGGGAGGAGTGAGGCGCCATCCTTGTGAGTGGCAAGAAACTCGTCTAGGGACTTTCGAAGGAATTTCATGCCTCTTTTCTTTTCTTTTCTCTTTTCCTTCTTTCTTCTCTCTCTTTCTCTCTTCCTTTCTGTCTTTCCTTTTTTTGGGGGGGGAGTTGGTGAAACAGGGTTTCACTGTGTAGCCCTAGCTGTCCAGAAACACACTCTGAAGACCAGCCTAGCCTCGAACTCACTGGGATCCACCTGCCTCTGCCTCCAAAACACTAGGATTAAAGGCAGGCACCACCACCGCCCGGCTTGACACCTGTCTTTAAGAGGTCTTAATTTTTTTCTATTTTTCTAAATTAAAATATATCCATATATATGGGCCAGAGACAGCTCAGTTGTAAAGAGCTCTTTCAGCCGGGCGTTGGTGGCGCACGCCTTTAATCCCAGCACTCGGGAGGCAGAGGCAGGCGGATCTCTGTGAGTTCGAGGCCGGGCTGGACCGACAGCCTCCAAAACAATACAGAGAAACCCTGTCTCGTAAAACCAAAAAAAAAAAAAAAATTAAAAAAATTAAAAAGCCGGGCGTTGGTGTCACACGCCTTTAATCCCAGCACTTTAATCTGTTGCTCCGTTACCTTCACTCTGCATTGCCAATGCTGCTTCCTCCTCTGCCCAGAAATCGTACATAGGTACTGGCCATTCAGCTTTTTATTAAACCAATCACAGTGACAAATCTTCACAGTGTACGAAAAGATTATGTCACAACAGCTGGGAATTCCAACTCAGGTCTTCTTACCTGCACAGCAAGGGTTTATACTCAGAAAGCCATCTCTATAGACCTTTCTCCTCCTCCTCCTCTTCCTCTCCCTCCTCCTCCTCTTCTTCTGCAAACAGTATCACTGAACTACGCTGAAAATTCACAGGGCCTTTTGTTTGTTTGTTTGTTTGTTTGTTTTGAGACACAGTTTCTTTGTGAAGCTTTGGCTGTCCTGGAACTCCCTCTGTAGACCTGGCCAGCCTTGAACTCAGAGATCTGCCTGCTTTTGCCTCCCAAATTCTGGGATTAAAGGCGTGTGCTGCCACTGACTGGCTCATAAGGCCTTTTAAAGGACCTCTCAGAACCCTAAACTTAGCATTGTCATACCTGTCTCATTTCCCCTGGGCTGTGATGAGCACTTCTCAGATCTGCCCACCCCTAGCCTTCCTGAACTAGCTACTGAGCCTTCTTGGTGCTAGGACACAGAGCACTTAGAGACACATGCTGGGGTTTCACAAGTAAATCCAGACATTCACTATGCAGCATTCCCTATGCCTTCTGGGAAGACAGCAGTGCAGCAGACAGAGTTGATCCTGCCTTTCAGGACTTACTGGCTGTGGGTAAGGCAGGGGAGGGGACAAGGATCAATATTGAGCCATCAAAGTCCAGGGACCCTGGAGCAGGAGAAGCCTTTGCCTAAGCTGGGGATTAAAGGTATTATCCAAACAAAAACCTAAGGAGTTGGCCAACCAAAAAATAAGAAGTGTTTGTTTAGAGAGTAGAGTTTGTCGAGGGTCAGTTTGAAGAGCTGAGAATATCACACATCATGGAGAATATTGGGAGGTGAGGATGGAGGACAGAGACTAGAAGATACAGGGCTTGCAGACACTGAAAGAAGTTAGCTTGTGTTCTGGAGTAGGGTTGGGAGCTACAGGTTTTTAATAGGGATAGCACAGCCAGCTCAAAGATCATTCACCGGGGAGAGAGACTGTCACAAGGGCCCCTGTATACTTAGTCCAAGCTTTACCAAACTTGGAGTTCCTTAGGCAGTCAATCTGCAACAAGTATCTCCCAAACTCTGGCTATGTGTCAGCCCCAGCACCATACGCAGTATCAGGCTTACATCAGGGGACAGGACAGCTGTGGCTCCCGACCCATGACAGATCATGACTGTTCTTTTTTTTTTTTTTTTTTTTTTTGGTTTTTTTGAGACAGGGTTTCTCTGTGGCTTTGGAGGCTGTCCTGGAACTCCCCTTGGTAGTCCAGGCTGGTCTTGAACTTACAGAGATCCGCCTGCCTCTGCCTCCCGAGTGCTGGGATTAAAGGCGTGCGCCACCAATGCCCGGCTGATCATGACTGTTCTTATTTCTGGGAGTTTAGACAAAAGCTGGGCTGCCAGGGCTCCTAAAGGCTGGTCTTGGTGGCCTGTGCCAGTGTACTAATTAATTAGAGAGACAATTAACAGTGGAAAGCAGATAAGAGTTTTCATCAATGTGTCACATTAGGAAGAGGAGCAGATAATGGGGTAGTGACCTCAGGTCCATCTTCTGGACACTGGCATGAACTTTATGTTTAGATAGAGGAGGAATCCGGACAAGGGACAGACAGCACAAGCTGGTAAGCACTTCTGGTCAAAGGGTGGTCTGGTTGATCGTTACCTTAGTTCTAGTTCTGGAGGATGGCTCACAGGAGTCCATACTCTTTGAAGGGGCAAGTCAGTTCTCAGGAGCTAGCTCCAGCCATCCCTTCAGAGACAACCACCCTCACAGGATGCTGTGTTGGCTTGCCCATGCTTGCGGTTGGTGTCAGTCCCTTGTCATGTGGATGTTGACTGACCAGTCCTGTTCCACGAATCCAAGCTGACTGAAGGATTAGGAAGGTGCCTGGAGCTCATTTTGGTAGTGTAAAGTACAATACTGTAGTTAAAATAAAAAGTAAAAAAAAGACTGTAAAGGCTGACAGAAGGTCAGGTGTGTGGTAGATGTCTTCAGTCCCAGCAACCAGGAGGCAGAGGTAAGCAGAGCTGAGTTCAAAGCCAGCCTGGCCTACATAGTGAGTTCCAGGACAGTCGGCTACAAAGAGAAACCCTATCTAAAAACAAACAAACAAACAAATATAAACAACAAAAGCCCAAAAGACAAACAACAAAAAACTGACAGTAGCTGCCTGTAATCTCAGCAATTGGGAGACAATGGTTAAAAGACTGGGAGTTAAAGACCATCCTTGAGTGCACAGTGGATTTGAGGCTAGTCTGGGCTACAAAAGACCTTGTCTCAACACACTCACACTCACACACACACACACACTCACACACACACACACACACACACACACACACACTCAGGAAGGGAGCTAGGGAGGGAGGGAGACAAGAGACAAGAGGTGCTGGCCTGGAGACACACTTCCTTAACCCCAGCACTCGGGAGGCAGAGGCAGGTGGATCTCTGTGAGTTCCAGGCCAGCCTGGTCTACAGAGTAAGTTCCAGGACCACCAGGGTTGTTATACAGAGAAAAACGTATCTCGCAAAACCGAGAGAGAGAGAGAGAGAGAGAGAGAGAGAGAGAGAGAGAGAGAGAGAGAGAGAGAGAGAGAGAGAGAGAGAGAGAGAGAGAGAGAATGAAGGCAGAATTGCTAGGCTTCACCATGCTTTTAGTCACCTGTTGCACTTCCTCCAAGCAAGGAGACAGTGTCTGTCACATTCTGGTCATTTTGGACCTATATTGATCTAGCAGGGGTCAGGTCCGTGGAAGGGAGGGACAATGTCCCAGAGGGAACAGCTGATGGTATGAGCAGCACTGCCACAAACAGTGGCAGGCAGAGAAAGGGACTTGAGAGTTGGTCTGGAGATGGAGCCGGGACCAGGGTCAGGGTGTGATTCCTGGGGGGCAGGGACACGGAGAACACAGATGGAGAACAGATGGGTGAGACGGACATCACAGCCCTCAATTGTTCAGATGTCAAGGTCTTGTCTGATTGGGTGGTTCTGAATAGCTAGGGTAACCAAGACCTGAGAGCCACAGATTCAGCATCAGGTGAGGATGCTTGCTGCTCAGCGTTTCCCAGACGGTGCTGGTGCTGCGAGGGGGGGTGGATATTGGTACACTGTGGGAATGTATTGTTGTGATTGATGTAATGAAAGCTGAACGGCCAGCAGGTAGGCAGGAGGTACAGGCAGGACTTCTGGGCAGAGAGATACGGGGGAAGAAGGCGGAGTCACCAGCCAGACTCCACCTTCTTCCTAGAGGAAGCAGCATAAGCAGTACAGAGAGATGAGGTAAGAAGCCACGTGACAGCATCTCCATTAAAATAAATGGGCTAATTTAAGATATAAGAGCTAGTGGGGCAAGCCTCAGCTAAGACCACGATTTCTAATTAATAATAAGTCTCTGTGTCATTATTTGGGAGCTGGTGGTGCAGAGAAAGACTCATTGCATGATGCCTTCCAGCTGTATCCTTTGTCGGGGCCGAATATGATGTGGGCCTCAGCTCAATTCCAGGAGCTGGAATCTCCTATTGTCTTTTAGATGTCGGCTGGTTGCCTCCCGATGACCTGGCCACAGTGGAGAATGGCTTCTAGTTTGTATAACAATAGACCTAGGCCCCACAACCTTCGTGAGAGCCTGTGGGACACGCCTGGGGGCAGTTAGTAAGACATGCCTGAAGGCTGGTGAGATGTGCCTTTACAGAAAGTCTGAGGGCTTGTGTACATGCATTCTAGGACCATCTCTAGGGTTAAAGGAAGTGTTTCCTAGTCAGCCCTATACACATGATAATAGATGTCTTCTGCCAGTACCCCTACCTCCACCCCCACGCCTCCACCCGTACACCCCCTTTTAGAAAGCTATTTAAGTCAACAGGATGCTGGAATAAACCGGTGTCTCCAGTGTGGCCTGAGAGCCCTCCTGAAATGACAAGATGTCTCTGTCTGGTTCTTAACCCCATTGGGTAGCTGGGACTTCTCTGATCCACACCACCCTCCAGGGTCGGACCCAGGGCTATTTGGCTGGTTCCGAACACAGCCCTGGAGACATCAGTCCAAAATAGATGGCCCCTACTACAGCTTAGGACTGACCCAGGCCAGACCCCGACGATCCTTCATGCAGAAGGTGAAAGGACTAGGAGGGCTTCATAGTGTTAATCTCATGTGTGACAGCTGAGGACCCAGCCAGCCCGCCTCTTAAATCTGTGTGTGTGTGTGTGTGTGTTTGTGTGCACGTGTGTGCGTGCGTGGGACTGCACATGCATCAGAGTGTTGGTGTAGAGGCCAGAGGTCAGTGTTTGGTGTCTTCATCAGCCCTCTACACACACACACACACACACACACACACACACACACACACACACACACACACACACACACACACATTCTGAGACCACATCTCAATATACAGCCCTGGTTAACCTTAAACTAGCTATGTAGAACAGGCTGATTTTGAGATCCACTTGCCTCTGCCTCCCAAGTCCTGAGATTAAAGGACCATGTCTGGCCACCTTCTCTTTTTTGGGGGGTGGGGCCCTGCCTTTTTTTGTCCTCCGCCTTCTATTTTGAGACAAGGTCTCTCACTGAATCTGAAGCTCATCAGTTTGGCTAGACAAGCTGCCCAGTGAGCTCCAAGGATCTGTCTGTCTTCACCCCTCCATTCCCCATCACTGGGGCTACAGAGGCAGGCATGCAGCAATGTCTGGCTACTTTATGTGAGTGCAGAGGATCTGGACTCAAGTCCTTCACCATCAGAGCCGTCTCCCAGCCCCCATGTTCTTAACACTTCTGCAGCGGGAGTGTATGTCCCTGCACAAATCTTTTTATTTTTTAATTTTTTTTAGTTTTTTGAGACAGGGTTTCTCTGTATTGTTTTAGAGGCTGTCCTGGAACTCGCTCTGTAGACCAGGCTGGCCTTGGACTCACAGAGATCCGCCTGCCTCTGCCTCCCGAGGGCTGGGATTAAAGGCGTATGCCACCAACACCCGGCTCCCTGCACAAATTTTAGAGAGCATCTTTCAAACCTCAGGAGTAATCTGCTGTCTCTTGCAGGACCTGTGTGTTTTGTGATCTCACTGGTCACAGGTACCAGTGACTAAGCTTCGGTGATTCCAGAATGCTACTCCAAATCCTTCCAGAAACTGCAGCAACACCCAGAGTCAGTGAACCTTCCCTTTCACACAGGTATGGCCTGAGTGGGCTCTCTGGACTTATGAAAGGGTCAGAGCTGATGGTCACATCTGTCACTTCCTCTGCATGACTCACAAGTGTCGTTGGTTCCTCAGCAACTCTGAGAAGGAAAAGCACCCCCAGTCTACATGTGGGGAAACTGAGGCACAGGGCAATGCCATCACCTGTCCAAAGTCACTGAGATACAAGGAGAGGAACCAGGGCTGGTGCCATGGCTCTGGGATGCTTCTTCACCTACCACAGCTGCATTCCAAGGGACACACTAGGCGGGCCAAGCTACCTGCCTGCTCTCCATCTTGGTACCAGCTGAGGAACAGAAGAAACGATAGATAGCTGTAGTTTCTTTTCTCTTTGTTCTTAGGAGGCCTGCTGCCCAGCTTCCAAAGAAATGCATGGAGACTTATTCATGCATGTAAGCCTTCCCTTCCCTTATTTCTAGCCAGCTTTTCTTTCTTTCTTTTTTTTTTTTTTTTTTTTTTTTTTTTTGGTTTTTCGAGACAGGGTTTCTCTGTGGCTTTGGAGGCTGTCCTGGAACTAGCTCTTGTAGACCAGGCTGGCCTCGAACTCACAGAGATCCGCCTGCCTCTGCCTCCCAAGTGCTGGGATTAAAGGCGTGTGCCACCAACGCCCGGCTGCCAGCTTTTCTTAAATGATCCCATGCACCTTTTGCTCTGGGCTTTTACCTTGCTCTATTCTGTATACATTTCTTTAGTCTTTCTCCACAGCCGGCTGTGTGGCTGGCCCCTGGCATCTTCCTCCCCTTCATTCTTCTATTTATTCTCTCACCAGCCCCACCCATTTCTCTCTCCTGCCTCCCTATTGGCTGTTCCTCTCTGTATTACACCAGTCAGGTGTTTTAGACAGGCAAAGTAACACAGCTTCACAGAGTTAAACAAATGCAACATAAAAGAATGCAATGCATCTTTTGCATCATTAGACAAATATTCCACAGCATAAATGAATGTGACACATCTTAAAATAATATTCCACAAAAGATACCTCCCACCTGACAGCCAGGTGGCCTGCTTATACCAGCCAAGCTGGATGAAGCTTGTCAGGTGGCCCAGGGATACACGTGCTGCTGCAAGAATGGGTGGACAGTGGGGGTGGGCAGGCTGTGGACATGGGGAGGCTGTGGACATGGGGAGGCTGTGGACATGGGGAGGCTGTGGACATGGGCAGGCTGTGGACATGGGGAGGCTGTGGACATGGGCAGGCTGTGGACATGGGCAGGCTGTGGACATGGGGAGGCTGTGGACATGGGGAGGCTGTGGACATGGGCAGGCTGTGGACATGGGGAGGCTGTGGACATGGGCAGGCTGTGGACATGGGGAGGCTGTGGACATGGGCAGGCTGTGGACATGGGCAGGCTGTGGACATGGGGAGGCTGTGGACATGGGGAGGCTGTGGACATGGGGAGGCTGTGGACATGGGCAGGCTGTGGACGTGGGCAGGCTGTGGACGTGGGCAGGCTGTGGACGTGGGCAGGCTGTGGACGTGGGCAGGCTGTGAACATGGGCAGGCTGTGGACATGGGCAGGCTGTGGACATGGGCAGGCTGTGGACATGGGCAGGCTGTGGACGTGGGCAGGCTGTGGACGTGGGCAGGCTGTGGACATGGGCAGGCTGTCCTTTGGTGGGTCTTGACTTAAGCCAGCTGTCTGCAGCTCTGAGACATATTTCTCAAGCTCACATAGGTAAGTGTGAAACATGCTGAAGACCCTGATTCCAGAAACCCAGCCTCTTTCTATATCCCAGTGGCTTCTGTCTCCACAGAAAGAGGAAATGACAATGGGCACTTTCCCCATGTGAATGGAAAGAAAGTGAGAGTATTCCCTATTCCCTACCCATCTTTTTTTTTTTTTTTTTTTTTTTTTTTGGTTTTTCGAGACAGGGTTTCTCTGTGGCTTTGGAGGCTGTCCTGGAACTCACTTGGTAGTCCAGGCTGGTCTCGAACTCACAGAGATCCACCTGCCTCTGCCTCCCGAGTGCTGGGATTAAAGGCGTGCGCCACCAACTCCCGGTCCCTACCCATCTTACTAAGATACTTGTTGCAGGATATCTGTACACTGTGTAACGACGTGTTGTTATGAATGGCCAGTAGCTAGGCAAAAGAGGTTAGGTGGGACTTCCAGACGAGAGACTAACTCAGGAGATAAATCTAAGTGCAGAGGAAGATGCCAGCAAGACACTTAAGAAGCCAGAAGTACAGAATGGAGGAGAGGTAGAAAACCCCATGGCAGAACGTAGATTAATAGAAACAGATTAATTTAAGTTATAAGAGCTAGTTGGGAACAAGCTCAAGCTAAAGGCCAAGCTGTGTCATCATTTGGGGGCTGCTGGTCCAGAGCTCAAGTCTTTGATTCTAGGAAGAGAGGGCAAGCTATCTCTGTGAGTTTGAGGATAGCCTAGTGTATGTATTGAGTTCCGGACTATATGAGTTATGTGGTGAAACTCTATCCCTGGACACAGGAGGGGGGTCAGCAACTGAAGGAGAATGCTGCTTTTGCAGAGGATCCATTTGGTTCCCAGCACCCACACCATGCAGATCGCAGCCGCCTCTAGCTCCTTCTCTCGGGAATCCAATACCTCTGATCTCTAAGGGACCTGTATTCGTGTGCACACACCCCCACCACACATAATTAGAAAAATAAGTGTGAAGATAATTTCAAAAAATCCTAATCATTGACTATTAATATTAATTTATTTAAAATTTATAATGTGTTACTGTTGTTTGTGGGCAATTTTATGCTAAAAAATATTTCCCCAAATATATTTTAACACAGTTCTGTGGTCAACAGAAAAACATATATATTAAATGTTAGAATATGGTCAGGCATTGGTGGTGCATGCCCTTAATCCCAGCACTTGGGAGGCAGAGGCAGGTGGATCTCTATAAGTTTGAGGCTAGCCTGGTCTACAGAGCGATGCCAGGATAGGCTCCAAAGCTACACAGAGAAACCCTGTCTTGAAAAACCAACCAACCAACCAACAAACAAAAAAACTTAGGGGGACTGGAGAGATGGCTCAGAGGTTAAGAGCACTGACTGCTCTTCCAGAGGTCCTGAGTTCAATTCCCAGCAACCACATGGTGGCTGACAACCATCTGTAATAAGATCTGGTGTATATATAATAAGTAAATAAATCTTAAAAAAATACTTAGAATATGGTGACTTGTCCTTGTAAGAGGTAGGAGGATGGTCATAAGTTCTAGGCAAGCTTGAACTACATGGTTAATGCCAGAACATCCTGGACACAGTTTTTGGTTATTTGTTTTGAGACAGGGTCTCATTATGTAGTCCTGGAACAACCCTGTCTGCAATTCTTCAGGTATCTTTTTTTGTTATTTCCATGTGTGTATACACACTGTGTTTGTGTACATGTGTGTTCACATGTGTAACCATATGCATATGGAAGCCAGAGATGGGCATCACATGTCTTCCTTCATGTCTCCTCACCTTATGATCTATGACACAGTCTTTGTTTGAACTTGGAGCTCACCAATCTCTCCAGACTGGCTGGTATCAGGGATCTGCCTGTGTCTCTGGTTCCCAGTGCTGAGGTTACAGGCAGAGGCCACTTTACCTGGTTTTTACAAGGGTAACCGATTATCTTGCCAGTCCCCACCTTGTTACTTGAGGTAAAGCTTCTCCCACTGGCCTGGAACTCAATGGTTAGGAGATGCTGGAGCCCCAGGATCCACCTGTCTCCATCTCCCCAGAACTGGGGTTACATGGACTACCATGCTCTGCTTTTAGATGGGGGTCTCACCATGTGGCCCTGGATAACCCCAGATTCACAGAGATCCACATGCTTCTGCCTCCCGCCACACCTGGTTTTACGTTCTGCTTATCCCGTAGATGCTGGAGATAGAACTCATGTTGTCATGTGCCCTGGTCAGCAGGGCACAACTAACATCTGGCCCACGGGAACCTGGAATGACGGGACAAGAGACACGAGAAAGGGGAGCAGGACAGCAGGGCTGATCGAGCTGCGTATACTGAGGATCTCCTACAAGCTTATATGGGGGAACGAGGTAGTGGGATGGGGGCAGAGGAAGGCAGGGCAATAAGGGAGGGGCCATTGCCTAGTAACCAGGCCACAAAATGTTGTTATTCAGGGTCACTTGAAGATGGGCAGGATATGTTCCTAGGACGTAAGTCTACGACTGGGGGAGTCCGGACTGCAGACCAGGTGGCAGAAGGGTGGGAGAGCCTGGACCGCAGGCCTTGAAAGTGTGCTATGCAGGAAGTTAAGCAGACACAGAGACATAGAAACTTAACTAAGTGTTAGTCTCTCGTTAATACAGCAGGAATATGAAGATGGCTTTTATTTTATTTTTTAAAAGATTTTATTTATTTATTATGAATACAATATCCTGCCTCCATGTACGTTTGCACATCAGAAGAGGGCACCAGATATCTTTACGGATGGTTGTGAGCCACCATGTGGTTGCTGGGAATTGAACTCAGGACCTCTGGAAAGAGCAAGCAGTCAGTGCTCTTAACCTCTGAGCCATCTCTCCAGCCCGAAGATGGCTTTTATTATGCTATCCTTGTTTAGAGTCCTCCATGGCGGGCAATATTTATGAGAGGTCCTATATACCAATGATCGCTCCTGACAGTCATGCTTGTTGTCAGGCACCATCCCCAGACCCCTGGTTATCTCCCCAGGCCCCAGGTTCTGTTTTAAGACACTATGTTTGATGGCCATGAGTTTCCTGAACCCTTGGTAGATGTTCAGTCCTTGCTCGTCTTCCTGGACCCTCTCTGTCCCTGCTCTCCTCTGCACTTCCTTCTGTCTAGAAGCACTGCCCACAGTGTTTCCATTGTTACTCCAGCCACCTTCCGAGGGGCTTCTGGGGGGGCTTCATAAACTAAAAAGGGAACAAGAACAAAAAGGGCCTGGATGGCGGCGACTCTGCAGTGTTCATGACACTATGCTTTGGTTTGGACGCCGGCTGAGATTTTTTTTTCAGGACCAGAGACAGCGCTCCCTGGGCCTCACCTGTTTTCCAGGGGAGCTGGGGAGGTGAGGATACTGAGAATACGCATGTACTTATACTAAACGAGCACTAGAGGGGGCTAGCGAGCTGTGAGTCGGAAGCTTCACAGATGCTTTCAAATCACGCCCTCTCACACCTGAGGATGGACAAGGGCGTGAGAGTGAGTATATAAACAATAACTTAGCAGGAAAAAAAAAGCAAGCCCCAGATTGTTATTATTGTGCATGTGAGCGTTGTGGGGTGGACATCCATGCCATGGTGAGCCTGTGGAGGTCAAAGGATAACTTTGTAGAGTTGGTTCTCTCCTTCCTTCTGCCCTTAAATGGTCCCCTTTTGGTGGTCATATTTGGGTAGGTTTAGGAGGTGGAGCTTAGCTGGAGGATGTCATTGGGAGCAGGCTTTGAGGTTTCCAGTAGACCCTCCCAGGACGCACTCAGCTTTCTTCTTGTGGTTTGATATGTGTGAGCTCTCAGCCTCAGTTTCCAGCCCAGCCATCCGCTTCAGTGTTGTCCTGGCCACTATAGACCTTAACACTCTGGAATTGTAAGGCCAAATAAACCCTTCCTTGTGTAAATTGTGTTGGTCATGGTGTTTTATCACAGCAATAGAAAAGTGACTAAAACTCATAGACTCCAGGAAACAAAATCATCAAACAAGTTATCAGGCTTGCATGGCCAATGTTTTACTCACTAAATCTGGCCTCCAGATTTAATTTTTAAATTTTTATTAGTTGTTTTATGTATATGAATGTATTGCTTGCATGCATGTCTATGTGCCATGTCTCTGGTGTCCTCAGAAGCCAGAAGACAACGTTGGAACCCAGGGACTGGAGTTATAAATGGTTGTGAGCTGCCACATGTGTGCTGGGAATCAAACTTGAGTCCTCTGAAAAAACAGTCAGTGCTCTTAAACACTGAGTCATCTCTGCAGCAAATTTTTGTTTTGTTTTGTTTTTCGAGACAGGGTTTCTCTGTATTGTTTTGGAAGCTGTCCTGAAACTAGCTCTGTAGACCAGGCTGACCTCGAACTCACAGATATCCGCCTGCCTCTGCCTCCCGAGTGCTGGGATTAAAGGCATGCACCACCAACGCCCAGCCCTCTGCAGTTCATTTTAAAAGTTTAAAAAATATAGTCATGTATTCATTTGCCAGGCAGAGTTGGTGCACACCTTTAATTGCAGCACTCAGGAGGCAGTGACAGACATATCTCTGAGTTCAAGACCAGTCTAGTTTATAGAGTGAGTCCCAGGACAGCCAGTGCTACACAGAGAAACTCTGTTTCAAAACAACACAACAAAAAGTATTTACTTTTCAGATTTAAAGAAAAAAAAAAGACCAGCTGTTTTCCATTAAGCCCTTAGTGCTAGACTCGGACTCATGTGGGTGTGTGACACTGACACACACACAAACACATTTTTACATTTTTATGTGTGTGTGCCTAAGTGTATGTATACATCACACATGCTGGAGCCACTCTAATAACGCCTTTTTATATGACTAACACGCTTCTCCATCATGCGGTGCGGTGATTTGAAATAAAGTGGTCCCCATAGAAAGGCGCTGTTAGGAGGTGTGGCTTTGTTGGAGTAGGTGTGGCCTTGTCGGAGGAAATGTGTCACTGTGGGGTTGGGCTTTGAGGTCTCATATGCTCAAGCTACACTCTGACACAATTCACTTCCTGCTGCCTATGAATCAAGACGCAGAACTCTCAGATCCTTCTCCAGAATCTTGTCTGTGTTGTGCCCAAGTTGCAAAGATTCCCCCAGAGACCACCAGGAAGACAGACCCACCAAACTGCAAAAGCAGGGTTTTAATTGTTTATCCAACCACAACAGCGACACCGTTTGGCTAACTGATGCAGCAGCCTCCAGAGGGAGTGAAGTTCCCTGTCTACTGCTATGTTTTATAGACAAAAGTTACAGGATTACATCAGTAGGTACATGTTGGTTTCTGATTGGTTGACATTTGGGAACAATTAGAACTTTTCAAAGTCATATTTTGTCATGAAATACCTGTGTACCAATTATTCTCATTGGTCAGTGCTGAGAGAGAATATTCTGTGATTTCTATGGCTTTGTCTTGTTACTTGCAGGTGGTCTGCTGTACATAGATACAATAGTTTTCAGAACTGTATCCTGGAGACTACAGGGGAGGCTTTGGTCTCTCCTGGAGTTTCTTTTGTGGCCAAACAGTTCCCAGGAACCAAGTATCTAGGATGCTAGTGGTCTGGAGTTTCTTTGTGTTCAGTTTTGGTTCTAGGCTCTTGGAAGGTCAGAGGATCTGGAGTTTCCTTGTGTCAGAGGCCTACGTGTCTCTTCTGTAGCCTGTCTTGGTTGCTAAAGCAGGGGCTGAGTGAGGGTCTGGTTGCTTCATTCCTAAAAGTGAAGCCCTTGAGTTTAGTTTACCCCTTTCAGTCTTCTGCATGCCAACATGTCCTGCCATGATGATAATGAACTGTAAGCTGTTGGGGAAGTCTTATGTCACTAAAGCACTGTTGAGCCAATAGGAATTTAGATAGGTGGGACTAGGAGTCCAGGAGGACTCTGGGAAGGAGAAACACGAGTCAACATGTAACGCCATGGGGTAGGAAGCCCGGAACTATTCTCCGGTAAGAAACATACTTAGATTAACAATTATGACAATTATGGGGTAATTACTTAAGTCAGAGCTAGCCAGTAAGAAACAAGCAAGGCCAACAGCTTCATAACTAATACAGCCTCCTGTGTGTTTATTTGGGACTGATACGGCTCTAGAACCAGGCTGGCGGGAAAGCTCCTCTCAAAGAAAAAAGCTTCCCTTTACAGTAAGCCACCCCAATTAAATGTTTTCCTTCATAAGAGTTGCCATGGTTACCGGGGCAGTGGTAGCACACACCTTTAATCCCAGCACTTGGGAGGCAGAGGCAGATGGATCTCTGTGAGTTTGAGATCAGCCTGGTCTACAAAGAGCTAGTTACAGGACAGGCTCCAAAGCTACACAGAGAAACCCTGACTTGAAAAACAAACAAACAAAAGAGTTGTCACAGTCATGGTGTCTCTTCACTGTGCAATAGAAACACTAAGACATGTGGGTTTGGGGGATCAAATTGCCAGTCTGGTGCTAAGTGCCCTTACCTGCTGAGCCATCTTACTGGCCCAATTTGTTTCTATTGAATCTGTTTGTTTGTTTGTTTGAGACACATCTATGTATAGCTGAGGATAACCTTGATCCTTCTGCTTCTGCTTCCCAAGAACTGGGGTTTGGGGTGTGTACCACAATACCTATGTCTCTAAAGGCTTAATGGTTGTAGATGAACTTTCTAACCCCTGAGACAATGGACTGACTCATTTGAAGTGTTTGCCATGATAAGTGTTAACATCCACTCATACCCACAAAATCATTTCCACACACGGCACATGGTGCAGCCCCACAGCGGGCTCCTCTTTCTTCAACCTCACAGTGCCTGCCTTGGGGCTGGTCCTCAAACACTGAGGCAGCCTTGTGCTGGGAGGGGTGAGGAGAGATGTGACCTCTGTCTGGGCTAGCATTTGAACCCACATGCTCTCACTCCATCTCTCCGCTAAGCTAATGTTGCTGGTGTGTGGACGGCCAGAGGCAGGGGCTTAGCCAGTGTGCCTTTCCTGAGTCCTTACCACTCAGGTCCTTCTCTCTGAAGCTCAGCCCATCTCCCATGTTTTTATTCAGCTGAAAGCCGAGGTCCCTCGGGATGCGACCCCCAGACAGATTTCTCCAGCCTTGATCCAGATAGCCAGCCTGGTCCAGATAGTTCACCCTCTGGATTCAACTCCAGTACTGCAGAGAGGAAAGTGTGTGTGTGTGTGTGTGTGTGTGTGTCTGTCTGTCTGTCTGTCTGTCTGTCTGTCTGTGTGTGGTGGGGGATCGATGTCTGATGTGTATTTATTGGGGTGGGATTGATGTCTGGTGTGTGTGTGTGTGTGCACGCGCGCGTGTGCGCGTATGTGTACACATGGGGGTGTGATTGATGTTTGTGGTGTGGTGTGTGCGTGCAAGTGCGCTCTCGGTGGGGGAGGGGGGAGGGATTGGTGTGCTCAGTACTTTAGTGGATTGGCTGGTTTTTTGTTTGTTTGCGTTATTTTTTTCTGAGACCCTGCCAAATCCACAGAATTCTCACAAAAATCCAACCCAAAAGAGCTCACGTCTGGCGAGCCTGGCCTCTAACCTGAGAAGTGTCACTATTAATATTTTCGTGGTTCAGCAAAAGGTCACAAGGCATCGCCTTCCTCACTCGAGCAGAAGAGGCGGTGCACTTTCCACACCAGGCCACTAGATGGCAGAGCAGGCACGGATAAGAATAGGACGCTGCAGGGAGGCTCGGTGGTCCTTTGTAGTTCTACCCCAAAGCAGCAGAGGCTGAGAACTGGCTCCACAGGAGCCGAC